GCTATATTTTAAACTATTCGCTCTTAGCTCTTCATGATTACCTATACAAGATTGTGTAAAATATTCCTTATTTGGCAATATTTTAAACTATTCTCTCTTCGCTCATCATGTATGGTGTGATTGTAAATTTTTGCTTGTTTATGGAGTTTCTACTTTGAATCGCAGTATGACATTGTGTCAAAGTACTGCATTTACTGTGTCCTGTATATCAACTACTATGTGAGTGCATTGATTTATTTGAAATCATTTCGGACATGGACAGTAATCATGATAACATGATCATTGATCAAGGAAGGGTCTTGGCTCGTCGTTGACGCAGTCGGAAGCATGTGAAAGCTATTTTTACAATCAATTTATATAGTCGGCATTAAGGATCATTATCATTGATTGCAAAGAGATTAGGAAAATCTGTATAGATTTAAGATTAGGCTAACCTGAAATTTAACTTGTAACTATCTCATTAGCAATGCAATATTGCTTAATAAATTATTCAGAAAACTAATTCTATCGCTCCATACATCTCGCATCCTCATACAATCGTAGCAACCAATAGTAGCATTTGGAACAGTACAGTACAGGACAGGCCGATTGCTGGCCGAAATGTCCGACTGTCTGAGTCCAGTGTCCACCGTCCAGCAATCCGTTCTGGCTACTGTACACTATACCATACTGTTCTCACGGTATATACTATACACTAGGATTACGTTGCTGTTCATTTTTCACTTGTATCATTCTCCTTAGAGCTTGACGGTACTATTCGGTACAGTACTCCACCGCATGGTGTACAGTATACGATCCGTTACCAATCGGTTGATATCGTCTAGACTGGTGGCCAATGCAAATTTTAATCGCGCTCTCTAGCACAGCGTTGACTTCGATCACTACTGCCTATGTCGAGCAAAAATCAGTCTAGTTATTTCTCTTAATTCAAGGATGGACTTTTGATATCTTGTACTCGATGTATGCTCTAGTTTTTCATTAAGAAGACCAAATAATTTCTGTTGTAATTCAACCGTTGCGAAATGACCTCATCGCGTTTATCGGATCAGCAAGTAATCGACTCAGTTGACAGATATTTAAAGACTCGAAATTACTCGGTATATACCCTTGTAAATTGCCAATTCGTTTTACTTTATGTGCAATTGGAGTCGTTGATAGACGGTGATTAGAGTATCGTTCTCTTTCGATGGGATTAAAACCGATTTAATAGGCACTAGAGATAGTTTACGAATAACTTGACGCCAAGACACTGTTGTGCCTTAACCTTAATATAGCATGATGCTAATGCTGCTATCCAAGATGGCTCGCGTTGAATAGTGTGTATATATATATATATATATCATTGCTGCAGTCTGCAATAATCTAATACACTGATTAGATTACAGTGTAATATCTGTTTATTTTTGTTTAATTCAAAAGTCAATTTATTCGTGGAGACTTGACTTTGCTCGAGCTACTGTCTGTAGCATGCAAGGAAAGTGGAAGCAAGTTTCTAGATCTCTACGCTTTGCTAGCTGCAGTATTGGTGATATTGATATCCATGGTGATAATCGGCGATAGTGTACTCGTACTTTATCTTATAGTACGGTACAATGGCCAAGATTAGTCAATATATCTACTTGCTCAGCTGCAGAAAACCTTTCTTGCTTTTACAATCTATGATTGGGATATAGTAATCGTGTATGACTATTCATTATCCAACGCCTAGAAATACTTTGAGAGTGAAATAAATCGAAAATTCTGATGGATGATAATATTGCTGAATTGTACCAGTTTGCTATTGGCGTTGAATAAATTACAGAAATTACTCTACACTTATTTCTATTATTACTAAATATCAATCTTGCATTCTCAATAGACTTACGATTTTCTTTTAGCAGGCACAGAATGGAAGTCATTCATTAATGGATCATAGCTTGATGAACTATTTACAAAGTGAAGCTAGCGTATCAAATGTATCTTGTCTAGGAATTCAGTAAGTAAAACTGTGCGTTACTTTATCTGGTGCAGGAGCCACGCAGCAGTACAAATATTACTCATGTTTTCCGCTCATTCATGCAATGAATACTACAATAAAGTTGCTATAATGATACTATACTTCATAACGATCCATGAAAGTATTCTAGAGCTATATATTTATGTAAATGACAATATTATGGATAGAGTAGTCGTACTGAAGGTTTCAAATTTCAAGCCATCAATAATGTGTTTGCTTACTTGGTGTATGAACTGATTGTGTAAAGTTAACATTCTACGCGGATAGAAATATGCAACACGCATATCGTATGCACAATTCGCATTGACTGCAAATCATTAATGCATAGCAGTAGTTGTAAACGTAGCCTGCTTGTAAATAAGCATGATTTTACTTTAGTATCATCTTATCATGTAACTTTATATATTTTTGAATGGATAGAAATAATCCGGAAAAAATCGACAGCCAATTTTCAGAGTAAGAATTTGCAAATTTAATTTATTATTGTCTTTAAACTAATTTAAATTTTTGCCTCTAATATTTGTCAGGTTCCTGTCATTCGTGGATAACTGTGAAGATCTAGATTTCAAAGTGAGTTTACTATCTCTTCATTCAGTTAACGTCTACTGCTTCTTTCAATCGCGGTATTTTGTCCTCGATTAATGATTATTACTGTTAGTTTTGCGTATAATATGATATTCATTACTGTAAAAATAATTTATGGACACTTAGTACTCGTTAATCTATCATAATGCATTTTATGCTTTTAACTAACACGATATTCCGGATATACAAATTTTATTAAAGATATATCAATTAACAATTTTCGTAAATTCTCTAAGTTCACTTTTTCCAGTAATTTTTATTGTGCTTTTTAATTTTAAGTGACGGGATGTAGTAGTCTTTGTGGCCCTTTTTAATCTTTAATATACATATTTCTATTCTAGTAGATAAGATGCACTATTCGCTAGGTTAAAAGACTCTTCAATTATTATCTATTGCAGACCTATTAGACTCTGTCTTATAAATTAACATGTATTAATTGTTATGAATTAATATACATCAAGTAATGTAAATCCATCGTAACAAGTATAGATTAAGGAGGTTGTAGCATAAACATTATTTATCCACATTCATAATGTATGTCTGTTTTACTGGATATATTCTTAAATCATAGAATGAATTAACGGCACTCCTTTTTCCGGTATTTGTGCACTCTTTTCTCAAGTTGTTGGCTTTTGGAGATAATCAAAGAGGTAATACAACATTAATATATAGAGAATTATTGTTAAAATTAAGAATTTGAAATTTATGAAAAATTAGTATCATAATAATTGAGAATGAGCTAATAACGATTACCAATACATTTAGATGGTTACCACCGATGCCACTTCGTAATATGAAATTTTTATGCTAAAACTAAGTAATATGTTGCTTTAGTCCTCAAATTTTTTTCCGTATGCAGTGTGTACCTTCTATATATCACTTAGCACAATGACAGCGGTTTATCTATACTGCATGTAGACATACGTGTACTCTAGATTGACGCTGAAGAACTATTAACTATAGTAATTTCTGGCACGCAAGACATTAAATTTGCTAATTTTAGACATTTTGTTTTGTTAGGGAAGAAATTTCTGTCAAGTTATTCAGCAAATCTTGCAGTAGATAATGCTCATGACATTGAATCACTTTTACGCGCAATTGATGAGGACAATGATAGCGAATTGGTGCTGAAGGACTACCAGTAAGAATGCTTGATTGTTCATTTTAGTGAGATCAACATGTGTAAGTTTAAAAATATCAGATCTATAATTCAAAGTTTTATAATTCTCCTATTCATATTTGTATTACAGAAGCTATAAATTTTTTGTTAATTTATCTCTTGAGGCCTTTCAATATCTTATAAATTTCTTAGAGGTGAGTTGTAAAATTTTTCATATAAAAACGATGTGGTTCAATATGGTGCCATGGGGAACTATGTAAATGCTGTTATATTTTGTTTAAATTTTTTAATTGTAGGCGGCTGACCTCTTGAATATATTGAGCATAATAAACCAGCATATTTTCATTAATAGTGAGTAATCGGTTATATTGCTTGATGATTGTTACAAACGCTAACCAAGACTACATTTTTTCTAGCTTATATTGAGAGCACAGTTGAAGAAATTGATGGTAGTGAATATCCATCACAAGGTTAGCTATGATTAAGCCTCTATTGTATTGCATATCAAAAAATATCGACTAAACTGAAGGAAATAAAATATTTTTGTTCTTCGCCTGTCAGAAATAATGGAGGGTGATATGGCCAACCTCCAATCGAATTCTAGCGTGTATGTTGTTCAATGTTTGATCCTATATTCATTGAAATTATTGCAGTAGGTAAAATTTTAGCACATCACTAAATAGTTGCAACATATAACTATATTAGGGACGATAAAATTTCAAAATTTCATGACGTTGTTAATAAAGCCAAAGAATCTCCAACAAATCACTTGCCTAATATACGCTTTTATACTTTCTTAAATGCCTACCAAGGGTAAATATCTACCATAAGTTAGTATATGTCTTTTTTCTGGTATCTTAAATAGAAACGTTTTACCTATTACTACAGATTGAATACTGTTAGTGTATCAGACAATTGTAAGATATTATGCGGTGGATTTGCTGATGCTGCTGCGCGGTTATGGTATCTAAATTTTGGTGAAAGTTTTGCTCTTAATTCAGAAGAAACGTCAAGTCGTAAGGCTTATTATTAAAATTTCATTTATTCCGTAGTAGTTGGTGGTGAGAGACAGTTCGCATCTGTATGGTTATAAGATAATTACGCTTTTGTGCATTTAGATGAAATTTATGAATTTGATTTGAAAATTGAAGATCAACTCAAAAAAAAGAAAAATCAGTTTAGTAACGTTAAAAATACTAACTACCTCGATGACCACTGGACTAATTTAGAAAATACTTCTTATTTTATCGTTGGTAATCCAATTACTTAATTCAATACTTTTTTAGAGAGTGCATTACTTTAAGAGCACATAGTGCTGGAATAACTTCATGCTCCTTCAGTGACGATGCCAGTTACCTTTTTACCGCCTCCGAGGATGCAACTGGTAAGAATTCTATCAATTGCTAGTTAGCGTTTCTGATCTACAACATATGAGTATCGACTACTGTGTCCTAACTTTTGTTTCTATCCAACAGTAAAATTATGGAATACTGAAGACTTGAAGTGCCTTGTTACTTATAGAGGACATGTTTATCCGGTTTGGGATGTTGACACCAGGTTAGATTATAGAGATTCTTTTAAAATGTAGCTTATATTTCGTTCCCCAAAATTACTTTATACGTTAAGATCACGAAACATGTATAGGTAAACTTTTCAACATTTCATCACAGTAAATTTTTAGTTTACTTTGCGACCGCATCTGCCGATACAACGGCTCGCTTATGGAGTACGGAATTTACTCATCCTTTGCGTATATTTGCTGGACATTTGGATAGTGTGAATGTATGTCAGAATATGGCTTATGAGTGCATATCTACCCTTATATGAGAGGCATTATAAAATTTTTATAAATCGAAGAAAAATGTCTTTTTGGTTAGTGTGTTAGATTTCATCCGAACTGTAATTATATCGCTACTGGATCTGCTGATAAAACCTGCCGATTATGGGATATCCAAAATGGTCAAACAGTTCGTTTATTTACTGGACATAAAGTATGTGCTACATGATATGATACCGTTGAAACCGTTACTGTCGATTTTATGAATATTTTTCGTAATACAAACATCAATTTTAAAAATTATGTTATTAAATAGGGCGATGTAATGGCCATGGCGTTCTCACCTAATGGTAATTACTTAGCAACTGCAGGTAAACACTGTAAGCTGCTCGTAATTTAGTCCTACTAAGTCTTGCTTAAAATGCTTTATTTCAACACAAACACTATTATAGGAACAGATAATTCGATATATTTATGGGATATCTCCACAGGAAAACTTATTCAAGAATATTCAGGGCATACTTCGCCCGTATATTCCATTTCCTTTAGCCCGTGCGGTACACAAATAGCATCAGGTACAACAATCAATTTATTTGTTCATCATCAAGTTATTTACTAATAATTCTGGAATAGCGTATTCTGATTCGTAAATCATTTGGTAATATCGCTTACATAGGTGGATTTGAAAATTGTATTAAAATTTGGGATGTAAACGGACCTATACACGGGAGGTTCGAAGAGTAAGTGCAATATCCCAGGAATAATTCCAATTTTGATACGGTGACTATTAACAGTAAACCGCTAAAATGTCTGCAATGACTGACATTTTTATATGTGAAATTGTTTTCTTGAAATTAGTCCCAATTCAGATGTTGGGTCTACAACATTTCATGCTAAGGCCACTTCCGTGCAATTTTTGCAGTATTTTGCTGCTAATCATTTAGTTGCTGCTGGTCTATTCGGAAGTACATAAAAAATTTTGAAAATTGATGCGAAGGAAGCATTCATCAAAGGTCCTCGAATCTTATGGAACTGATCTGCTATTTGATATGCTATACTGTCGTTTAATTACTATAATGGTAATCTACTGAATGAATATTTCCTTGGATGATATAGTTTAAAGACTATATCCATTCAAGTTTGTATATATTTGCATATTATTTCTTAGTTTTAAATCGTTTGTAGCATATTAGATAGAGACGAGAAAGAAAATTTTCTCGTCTAATGGATTACAAAGTAAAATTTCTACCAAATAACCTAGATAGCATAACTGCTTTCGTCACCTATAAATTATAACTGCGATGGACTGTTTCAGTAATTTATGACAATTTATTTAACAAAATACTTCTGGCTGCGCCTTGTGCGTTACTTATTAGTTCTATAAAATTTAAAGATATTCGACAATTGGTTCACAATTAATATAAAATGTATACTATTTTCTATCATTTTGGTAAATTTCAATATCTATGCAAGATACTGTACTCTACCTGATGATAGAGTGACTATTAATGTTAATAGTACTTAGTTTATCTGTAATATGATAGTCATGAAAGCGATCGATATATAAATAGTGTTCTTGAAATATGTCAAATTAAACTATAATAGAAGGCAATGAATTACTTTGCTATCTATCTAGGATATCTGGCGATGAAATTTTAGAGAAGCAAAATTTGTAAAATAATGACGAAAAAGTAATGAATTTTTTAAAATATATCGCTGATAGTTCTCTTAAACACATTCGTATTCGTCGAGAATTATTTGAAATAGTATAAAATTAAATAAATATGAATTCGCAGTCGATGCGTTTCTCTGCTTGATTAGTTTGTCGCCCGATAAAAATAATCGACAAGGTAGATTTACTGTATATTTGTAATATACGGCAACTTCATATCAAATTTGCATTCTAGTGAAGATTCGTAATGAACTCGGGATAAACAACTTTTGATTCTGTAATGTTGTACTGTAATAGAATTTGATATTATCAGCAATTACCGTGGTTGTTGGTCCAGTTATATCCGTTCACCAATACTAAGTTGTAATTGCATTCCGGGACCTACAACTACATTGCATATCTCAATCGTTCTGATCAGGTGAAACTATTAAATAAAGTATGTTCACAAAAATTGATATTGAGGCCGTTAGTTTTATTGATGAAAAGAGTTCGTAAAGTGTAAGTGATAAATAAACGTGCACACTTCGCTCCTTGCTTGTTGTAGGCCTGTTCTTGCTCTCTCGTTTCAACGTCGGTTAGCAATTTTGAATGGTGGCAGCGCTCCTTTTGCAGATACTAATTTATTACTTGCACGTGTCAGGTAATAGGTTGAAATGTTTATAAGTAAAGTTGATAGCTTAGCAGGATAACCTTGTAATTTTCCGCTGCATTTCCATTCCTATCACGATTGTTTATTACTTAATGGGCAAGTGTCTACTATTCATTTGACGTCATAGAGAACCAATTTAAAAAATAAATTATGTACTATAAGGAAAATAGAAATTTAAGAAGTGATTAATATATTGAGTCGTAAATAAGTAAGTTTAGGGATTTTGATAAAATTGAATTTTATCAACTGTATAAAGTAACTGCTATTTAAATTAATACTGTAAACTTATCAGTTTACAGTTGATAATATACTGTATTTACTATTACATTTTAGAAAAATTAGTTCAGAATCTTACATTTCCCTGTATTTATTATTTTTACCGTAAATTTTTCCGATCAAAGATATCATTAAGATTATATCAATCAGCAGATTTTCTTGCCTATCACTGAATTGATTTACAATAAGCCAAAGTCAACATAATCATTAAGAAGCTATAGTGGACGTTATTTGAGTATAATAAGTGATTTTAATATTGAGCATTGACGTAGGAGTTGTAATTAATATTGACGTCAAATGATCGAGTCGCATTAATATCCGATAAAATAGATATGCGTCATATCTTTTTGCAGCAAAATCTATACAAGTTCTGAAAATATTGATGTGGAACTGTAACAGTGTTATATACTGTATTAGAGTAGAAATATCTATGTTAGGATAATTTTGTTAGCCTATCCTTATTTAGTTAACTTTTAATTTACTGAAATCAATAGTTATATTAGGGAATGCGAATTATCTACTTACGGTTCAAATCATTGTGATTGTCGTATGTATATATGTCACTGTTATAAAAAGCTAGTGCTATATTAAAACAACGTACATCCAAATGGAACCTGCTTTCTTCAACGAAAAGAAAAGAAAGGAAGTTTATCTTAGAAAGAAAGCTGAAAAATACCCTTTAGAATTAAAAAAGGTATCGCTATTCTACTGTTATCTAAAGCGAGAATAAAAATTAATAAAGGTTCAAAGTTAATTTGATATTGAACTTAATGATAAGAATAAAATATTTTGTTAAATCATACCAATGTCGATATTATCCATTGTAAAAGATTGAATTGCTTTTGTTGACACTGCTGTATAAAAGCAGATAACACATTTTATATTCAAAATATGATAATATTATCATTGCAATTATCTGTCGTGACTTTTATCGCTTCTGATGGTAATCAAGATTGAAAATCCTATTCGATACACACCTCTTTTATCTCAGAATGAACCAGAGAATTGGAAGAGGCATACGGAAGTCTGTATATTGGCATTAATAATGTAGAAAGAATTCTGTAAAGGTCTGGAAATAATTTACATATCTTAGCATTGATAAGATTTTTTATATTTCGTGATTAATATTGAAAGTAGGTACTAGTAGTATACTACTTTTATTGAATTGTGATCAAAATCTAAATATTTAGATAGGACTTGTATTGAAAAATTATTTGAGAACCAATATACAGCGAAAATTGAGATGAATAGTACAGGTTTTTAATTTTGTGTCTTGAAATGCTACTAATATGAAGTTATTATCATTTGATCACAGTTCAAATCAAATGTAAGTTTTTCTTTTAATAAAGATTTATCAAAATTTTGAAAGCACTTTAAAATTTAAATATTGATTGAGCATCATGCTTTAGAGCGCTGATAAAGGCTTTTTCCGAGGGTTTGAACTTGAGATTCAAAGAATCATTATTAATTTTATGTATAAGTAGGTACCAGTACTGGTAACGGTTGTATTGATGCCTAGGAAATCGTCCTAAAGGCATTACTCTAAAATTTTTAGATATTGCATGAGTAATGTCATAGAATAGGAAGTAATTTGGTAAAACTTTATAAAAATTTAGAATATACAAGAAAAATTTCGATAGGTTTTTTTAACAAGAGTTAATATCGAATTATGATGCCATCGAGAACGCGCAGATTTCAATTTTATGTTATAAAATTCTTGTATTGATTCCAAATACGACTTAACGATTGAGATTGAGTATTCAGTTTTAATAAAGACTTGTTAAAATATAAACAATGAATTAAAGAAGTAATAGGAAACTTGTGCATTTCGTATCTATGGAAAGTTGGAAGCAGAAAGTTTAAAAAAATAATCGCTAGTGTTGTAGAGTCTGTAAAATTTTTGAAAATTTCATTGCCGGTATCTTATTAGGATAGGTACCGTAATATTGGTATATCACATATATAGCTGTCGTGGTCAGCTCACGACAAGGAAACCTGGGTCTTTAAATCTGTATAAATACTAAGGCTACAACAGCCAAATGTGCCCCCAACGGGCTAAGAGTAGACTAGACTTAGGCTTTTATATTAGTTTATTAAACCAAGGTAGGCTTGACATCCAAGACTACTCTAACTATACGCGTACACTATACGGTCAATCGTCAACTAACTAGCTAATGAGAGCACCGGGCTTTATGTACCCTAGCTCGGCTGCACTCGGTGCACAGCTTAGGTAAATAACCCTAAAAATATATAGGTTTGTATAGCCGGCTGTCTATATGGTTCAGTATGGCAGAGGGCGTAAACAACACTAATGAGTTACCAACTAATTAAGAGCCAATTAATAATCAAAGGCTCGGTACAAAGTAACAGAAATTACTATGTGTGAATATTAGTTGTCACCTCTGTAAGTATACTATTCTGCACAGAGTCTACAACAAGTATGACTAGACTACTAATAAAATTACAATTAACAAGTACCTAATAAATAAAGGTTATATTTAACAACTAATAAAATCTTAATTACTGAAACTAACGCTACGATTAATTTACGGAGTCTGTACTCCGTCACAATAACTAAAGTTTAAACTTTAGGTGTTGATAACTTGACTAAAGTCAATGCAGAATCTTCCTTCCATCAAAAAGGATCTTATGAGATAAGCATTGTAGTCGATGTAATTTTTTTGGCTGAAATTGCATCACAATTTGAATAGAGAAGTGGAAAACCTGTTTATTTGAATCATTGAATAAGATAGATGCAGGTAAGTATCGTTAGATTATGAATGCTTTGATATTTATGTCATTTTTCAGTACTGCATGACCAATATCTTAGGATGGGCAGCGGTTCGATAAAGAAATAATTAATTATCTACGTGTATGTATTAAAAGGATCGGATAAGATGGTGTAGGCTTTTGTGCTATACTGCGAAAGAGTGATATTTTATTTCTTATGAATATTAATAAAACCGTATTTGAATATCTAATGCAAGTATTTATTCGAATTTCTTGTAAGCGGATTTCAATATCTATTTTGATTATAGAATACCCTTCAATTCTAACTTTGAGTCATATAATTAAATGGTATAGCTAATTTTAATATACGTAATAGCGAGAGAGTGATATTTAAATTTTTATTTTTCATGAATACTA